AGGTAGGGTAGCAGAGCCTCAAAGCCACAAGGGCACGATCTGCCCCTGACAGAGGAGCTGAGGAAAGCTCGTCCCTCCGATCACATTGCCGCTGCCCTGACGAGAAAACCAAGTCCAGAGAGAGGTCTCTGTCCCAAATAAGGCAAGAATGACCTGGCAGAGGCCCACGGCCACCACAGAGGCCATGAACTCCTGGGCTACTTCAGCCCAGGGATGGCATGTTGAAGTCTGGGCAACTCCACCGCCAATTTGCAATCCAGTCCACACTACAGGAGACCTTTGGCTGACGGTTCTTAACAAAATTCACCTACTGGGGATCTGTCGTCTGGTTCCCACTGGCCCCAAATTCACTGGCACACCATCAAGGCATCTGCCTCCCGGCTGCTTCTCCAGAGGTTCACAGCTGTACCGCAATTCCTCCATCCGGCTGTGCCTTGACCCTTGGCCTCGCTGTCCCTTGGGCCCCATGTGCTCTTTGCTGCTCTCCAGCTCACCTGCTTCTCTGGTGGGCCATGCAGTTGGACTTTGGTCAGCCCCCCCCCCAGCCTCACTCCTTGTTCAGTCACTGGGTCTCTCTCTGGCTGGCTGGTGGCTCAATTTGTCCCCTAGACCAGTGTTTCCCAAACTTGACAATTTTAAGGCATGTGGACTTCAACTCCCAGAATTCCACAGCCAGCAATGCTGGCTGTGGAATTCTGGGAGTTGAAGTCCACATGCCTTAAAATTGTCAAGTTTGGGAAACACTGCCCTAGACTGACCTCAAGCCTTGGGCTTCCCAACTCTGCCTCTGCCACCATCAGCTGCTCCCAGCTGCTCCGGGGTTTCTCAGCATTTCCTTGTCCGCTGGGTGTGATAGCAGGACTCCCCAGAGGGTCTCTGATAACTCGCCACGGCCAACATCAAAGAAATGGTGGAATAGAATCATTAAAGAAAGGATGCAAAAGGAGGGACAGAATGAAACGGGAATGGCAAACATTACAATAATTTGTATTTTAAAATAATTAAATAGAATTGTTAAATTGTCCCGTGGCAGGTTGGCCACAGCGAGTCGGCTGTGGCAAGTTGTCCCATCCCCCCCCCAGGGCGTGCTGACCCCCAGACCTCAGGCAGACGGATTATCTTCCTGCTCTACTGGCCCCCAATTAATCGCCATTGCTGTTACTGCAGCTGCAACTCAGTTGTTCTTGTTGGTTCTGTCCTTATAGCCTACAAAAATTGGACTGCAGGACTAAGAAAAGTGGTAACCGAAAAGGCCTTCCCCGGCAGGTAGCCGGCCACCTCGCTGGTCTGGCTCAGAATGTGGTTCCCTGGGGAAAAGAGGAAGGCTGACTAGGCGTACCTCCACAATAACCGTGCTTCAGCTTGGACGAGAGTATGAGAAAATTATGGGGTATAAGAAGCCTGTCTTCTCCATGGCTCAATTCAGAGTCAGCAGCCCAAAGCCCAAACTCAGTGGTTTGGTTTGAGGTTCTCCTGGGTCGCCCCTAGAGCTGCTTCACCTGGGAGGAAAATGACAGCCAATTCTTCCCAGCTGCAGCGGAGAGAGGACTCAGTAAGTGGCATCAGCCAAAGGCCTGGGGTCCCTCCGGCAACTGAAGGGAAGATTAGCGGACTCCTCGGGCAGCTCCTCTGGTGGGTCACTTCTCACAGATTTATTTACTCCTAGAAATGATTCCTGCCAAATTCCAGCTGGTTGAGAGCTCTCCATTGTGATCCCCCTTTACGAAAAGGAAGATAAGGGTGATCCTTTAAACAACAGACCGATTAGCTGATACCACAGCAAAACTGTACGTCAAATGTCTTTCATATAAGACTTTGAGGACTGGTAGCTGGAAAGGGCCTGTTAGCTGAAGAGCCATCTGGATTTAGGTCTGGCCACTCTATTGTTGATAACGGCTTCGTTTTATGCCACCTAGTAGGAAACTATACCAGTAAAGGAGCCAACAGTTTGCAACTTTTACAGACCTCAGTGTAGCGTTTGATTCGATAAATAGGGACCTTCTTTGGAAGAAACCATACGGCCCTGAATCCAGAACCCAAACTCCTCTCTTTAACCAAGACATTATATTTACTTCACACTTAGGGGAAGAAGAGTCTATGGTGCACCACCTGAACCATTGCCCATGTCCTGTTTGGCTGCACACTGAATTCTGCAGAAAGGACCGTTTGCTTAGACCTCTTTTGAAATCTAAAAGACATTGAAACAGTTATTTCCTCTTATTTCTTGCAGGGAACAAACACGCATATCTCTAGCAGAACTGCAATTTTGGTATCATCAGAGTCCAGGTCAAAGAAGATAAAAGACAAAGAAGACACCTAGAAGAGATTGGGGTTGAATGCTGCACTTATTATGAATATGCCCGTCTCTTTTCTCTGCACTGGTTTTATAGTTTTTGTTAATATGGCCCATATTCAAAGACATTCAAACTTTCTTTGGCAAGGGTGAGGATTTCATTGCAGGTGGGTTGAATTTTCCAATTTACCACTGGGTGGACATTCTAACTCCAGGTCCCAGCCAGGGTAGCCTCTTTCTGGAGGGTCTTTATTATTATTTTTACAAGAAATCACTCAAGGTGGTGAACATCTCCAACATCCCTTCCTTCTCCTATTTCCCCTACCACAACAGACTGCAACCCAGGTGTGGAAAAGATGGGGCTGAGGACCTGTGTGCTCATGAAAAGCTTACTTTGGGGGGAATTTTAACTTTGAAAAATGCTCTCTTGCAGAAAATGGAGTCATTTTGGGATAACAAAGTTGCTTTCACAATTACCAATCACAATATAAATACAGTTCTATTTTTGAAACTTGCAGTTTCTTTAAAAAAAATTCAAGTCTAATTCATCTTTGACTTAGTCCAGGTTACTTCTACTAGGATTTCGAGAAACTAAATCTAACTTGTAAGACAGTAACCCTTTTTAATACAGGTAATCCTCACTTATTAACTGCAGTTGAGAGCAGCAATACTGTCATTAAGTGATGCAGTCATAAAGTGAAAAGTCACAGGACTGCACTTGACATTATGATGGCAGTTGATTGGATCTAGCTGCAGTGATTAAGCGAGTCACTCTGGGTTGTTAAGCACAATGCCACATGACTGCCACCTGCGGCTTCCCGCCAGCTTCCCCACTGACTTTCCTAGTGAGAGGTTGGCTGTGAAGGTTGCAAATGGTGATCATGGGATGATGTGGTGTTAATGAAGGCTGATGGCCAAGCACCCAAATTGTGATCCTATGTCTGTGGTGACAATGCAACAGCCACAATGTAAGGACTGGGGTGAAGTCTCCTTATTCAGAGCATGGAAGCTTGAACTGTTGGCTGAATGCCCAGTCAGAGAGCAGGGGCTAGCTGCAGCAGAGGGAAAATTGATGAAAGGGGAATAACAAACGGGAACATCTTGTCTTAGTAAACCAGTAAAGAGTTGCTTTGAGCAACACAAAACTGTTTTTCCGTGCTCTTAAAACAAGGATAGTATTTGACTCTGTCCAAAATATTAATACCATAGTAGAATGTTTTTAGGGCATCTACTGTGAATTTAAGGTGTTCTTCCTGGCCGTATCGGGATGGATCAAGACAACATGGAGATTGGATAAAAAAATTATCACCTAACACTAGAAGGAAAAGCATATGTCACCCTTTAAAAGCGAGTTTTGTTGTTTTGGATCAGTGGTTCTCAACCTGTGGGTCGGGACCCCATTTGGGGTCAAATGACCATTTCACGGGGGTCGCCAAACCATGCTGTCCGCCATTTTTTTCCCTTTTCCCTAGCTGTCCTACTCTCTCTTATTGGTGGCCACACCCACTTGGGGGTCACCACAACATGGGGAACTGTATTATGGGGTCACGGCATTAGAAAGGTTGAGAACCACTGTTTTGGATGAAGTGCACAGAGGAGGACTTTTAAACATACGAAGAACGGCTGCAGGACTTGGGTTTGGCTAGTCTAAAGAAAAGAAGAAACAAGGGAGACATGATAGCTGTATTCAGGTATCTGCGGGGCTGCTGCAAGGCAGAGGGGGTCAAATTATTCTCCCAAGCACCAGAAGACAGGACAAGAAACAATGGTTGGAAACTGACCAAAGACAGAAGCAACCTGGAATTAAGGAGAAAGTTCCTGACAGTGAGGACAATTAACCAGCTTGCCTCCAGAAATCATGGGCGCTCCATCACTGGACATTTTTAAGAAGAGACTTGACAACCATCTCTCTGAGATGTTATAGGTTGTCCTGCTTGAGCAGAGGGCTGGACTAGAAGACCTCCAAGGTCCCATTCTATTTCATTCCATTCCATTCCATACAGTAGAGTCAACACTTCTGCTTCTGCGGAATTTTCCAGTTGCCCCCCCCCGCCCCCTGCTTTATTATTATGAGTATGAAATCTCAAGTTAACCCTATTGAATTAATGCTGGTCTATTGTTAATTGTTTAGTTCAGCATACTAAACTTACTTAAGAGGGCTTCCACCGAAAGTCAACGTTGATGCGAGACCGTTTTGGTTGCCGAAGGTCGGGAGGGCGGCTGAGCGGCGCCTTCAGAGCTTCGGCACCGTTTCTTATTTCTCTATTGTACGTTATATATACAATATATTGCAAATGCAACCCTCGGCACTGAACAAAACGTCCTTCGGGAACCTGGGCGAGCAAAGGCCAACCACCCCCTGCCGGCCTGCCCTCCGCCGGCCTCTCGCGCCCCAGGCCGCCCTCATCGCAATGCGGGACAGCCGACGGGGGAGCGTCGCACTTGGGCCGCCCCTTCTCCTTCCCCTCCGCGGAATCCCGGCGCCCCCTGCACGGCCACAGACGGCCCGGCTGCCGCGGCCAAGGCAGGCAGAGCCTCCTCCGCGCTGGCTCCGCTCCTCGGGGACGCTGACTCGGAGAGGCCGAGGGGCGCCGCGCGCAGCCGAGCCTCGCCCACAGCGGGCTGTCTCCGGCCCGGCCTGAGAGGCGAGAGCCCGGCCCTTCCCGGCCCTCTCGCGCAGAAGCGCTCAACCGACGCCGGGACTTACGGTGCCACAGGAGGCAGAGCAGGCGCAGCCCCGCCGCCGCGCTCCGCCACCGGCCCATCGACGACGCCGCGCCCGGGACGCGCCGACCGTCCCTCCTCGCCGCTGGCGCCAGCAGCCGCCCCGAACCCCGCCAGCCGCGGCTTCCCAGGAATGACGCCAGGCGGCCCCGCTCCTCTTCCGCGGAATGGCAGGGCGGGCTCGGCTGGCCGCCACGCGGGCGGGGGCGGCGTCTGCCGGGCCAAGCCCTTTCGCGGAAGCCGGGAGAAGGGAGGCCGGGCCCCGCAGCCCTAGCTGGGTGACGCCGCTGCGCTGGGGCGCGGCGGGAGGACCGAGGCCGCCCCCGGCCGGCGGGCATCCCTTCTCCCGCGCACTCCGCCTGCCGTTCGGTGGCTGCTGGCCACGAGGCGGGCCGCGCTGGACCGGAGCGCCCATGAGGGGGCTACTTGGGCCGCCCCGGACCCTGCCCGGCGTTCCCCAGCCGAACCCAGGTCGGCGAGGAGCCGCCCTCGGTTGCCTTTCTCTTCGGCATAACGCGGAGCAGCCGAGTCCGGGGCTGGAAAGCCCCTCGGGGGTCCGGGTCACTTGGGGCCCCGGGCTGGGTTGCCGGCTGGCGGCCTTTGGGGGGAGCCCCTCGTTGCAGGCGGGCCCGGAGCCGTTTCTAGGGCGCCTGGGCTGCTCTGGCCCTCCGCTTGACGAAAACTCAGCCAGGTAGCCACTTTCGCAGGGTGAATTCAGAGGCCATAAAAGAGCAGGCCGCCTCCTCAGAGGCTTTGCTGTTGTTCCTCTCGTGCAACTGAGCTGCTCAACGATATCTGCACGGCAGAGGGGAGTCAAGGCACCCTAAATTGCAAGGCAGGAAACTGCCTTCATCCTATGCAGAGGATGCTGACCCCAGCCTAGGCTTCTCCCTTGGGAACTGGTGGTGAAACCACAGCTGCCTATGTAGGTCATTTTAATTTCAGGTTTAATTATTTCATGTGATAAGTTATCTGTGATTATTTGGATACACTTAAACAGTACAGACAAAGGTTTCACCTGTCCAGTCGTGTCCAACTCTAGTTTCTTAGCTGAGGGAACCAGCATTGTCCGAAGTCTTCTCCGCAGTTGTGTGGCCAGCATGACTATATGCTGAGAGGCACAGAATGCTGTTACTTACTCACCAAAGTATTAGCTATTTACTCACATTTGCATGCTTTCCAACTGCTACATAAGCAGGGGGCAAGTAACAGGAGTTCACCCCATCATGCAACCCTTGGGTCTCCAAACCAGGCTATCAGCTTTCCAGCTGACAAGCTCAGCATCTTTAACTGTTGAGCCATCACACCCCTATGATGTACTTAAAAGTGGTCTAAAGGCCACCAGTATGGCATAAATGATTATGGTCCATCGCAGTCAGCCATATGTTCTATATGCTATACACAACAATATGAAGACACAGCTGCCATTTTTTAAGCTGATGTTGCGTTCATATGCACTGTGTTCTTTCCAAGAACCCACAATATTTTAACCTGTTCATTTTTTACTACTTTTTCAATGTTATTTTCCTAGCAATTTTTTTATTAGTGGCACATCATAATTTTGGCAACTGGGTAGTGCTTATAATCAGTTAGTATGATCTTGCATGAGCTGAGTATATGATCTGTTTCTTCTGCTTCTTTGCATAATACGCACTTTGAATCCTTTGACGATTTTTCGAGTTTGTGTGTGTGCTTAGAGAGTCAGCATTTTTTGCCATAACCACAATATCAAGCTGGATTGAAGCGGATTTAAGGCACCAGGCTAAAAACCAAGAGGCCCTGAGTTCTAGTCCCATCTTAGGCACAAAGCCTGCTGAGTCACTTGAGGACAGTCACTTTCACTCAGCCCTAGGAAGGATGCAAGGGCTAATTGCTCCCAAAACGTTTGACCAGAAAACTGCAGAGAGCAGTCCAGGCAGTCGCCAGAACAAATAGTGATTTACAGACACAAAACAACCCCAAAACAAGCACATGGCAGCCTGGATTAAAAAACCAGAGCCACCAACAACACACAACATGGGCTTCACTAGCAGACTCGGCTCATACTTTGCAAGGTCTTTGAGGCCTTCGAGGACCCCCATGCCTGTCTCGGGGATGGTGTTCCAGAGGGCAGGGTTGCTTCCTTGGTCCAGAAGATGGCAACATGAAGGCCAGTTTGGAGAGTTGGTGAAGGAGGGGGTGAGTTCTAGTCCTGCTTTAGGTATGAAGGTTGGCTGGGTGGCATTGAGCCAATCCCTCTCAGCCCAATCATCACAGGGTGATTGTTGGGGAGAAAATAGAAAGGAGTACTAAGTAGGTATAACCAAGTGCATAGGTGCAGAATAGGAAGTGCCTGGCTCAAGAGCAGCAACTGTGGAATTAGGTGTCCTGCCTAGTGGATCACCCCTTGTGTATGAGCCGGCCATCTTCTGCAGCGGCCAAAAAGGCCAACACAGTGCTAGGCTGCATTAACAGGGATAGAATCAAGATCACGAGAAGTGTTAGTACCACTTTACAATGCCTTGGTAAGGCCACACTTGGAACACTGCATCCAGTTTTGGTCACCACGATAGAAAAAAGATGTTGAGACTCATGCAAAAAGAGCCACAAAGATGACTAGGGGCCTGGATGCTAAATTGTATGTGGAAGGGTTGTAGGGATTGGGTATGTCTAGTCTATTGAAGGATAAATGGGATCACACCGGGAAGGCATAAGGCTCTTTCCTTGAGCAGAGGGCTGGACTGGAAGACCTCTGAGGTCTCCTTCAGACCTAGGATTCTATGTTCTGTATTAACGTTCACCGCCTTGAGTTGCATATAAAAAGAGCTAGATAAAAATACAATTGCAGTGCGGGCAGGGAGGCAGGCCCGTACGGGTGCTCCCCCAGCAGCCCAGCACGGGCGGAGGGGACCCCGCTGCCGGGACAGTTCCCGCGCTTTCGAGGCCGTCGCTTCCAGACGCCTCCCGGAGCTGCCCTTTCCTTCGCCCCCTCCAACGCTTCCTCGAGTCGGGCTGCTTCTTGCCCAGGTCGGGTTGAGGGCTCTCCTTTCCGTGCCAGCGGAGGAGCCTCCCCGGGCAAGCCGTCGGAGCAGCCGCGCCCAGAGAGGCGACGCGCCCCTCCGCCCGCCGGCTCGGCGCAGGCCGCCAGAGGGCGCTCTGGAGACTGGAGGAGGCGCGCCTCCGAGCTGCCGCGCCCGGAAAGCGCGCGGAAGCCGCGCCCCCGTCGGAGCCCCGCCCCCGCCCGCCATGGCCGCCGCGCAGAACGACGCGCAGCGGCGCTTCCTGCAGGCGCTGCTGGCCCGCGGCGTGGTGGAGGCGGCCGAGGCGGAGCGGCTGCGCCGGCTGTGCTGCCAGCGGCACCCGAGTGAGTGGGGGGCCATCCCCGCCCACCTGGCCCTTGTCGGGGGGGGGGGCTCGCGGCTCCCTGGCCGGGGTCGCCTCCCCGCCTGGCGCGCAGACACCGGCGGAGCTGCCCGGCCGGCGCTCGGGGGTCGCCTCGGCCCACGCCAGGCCTCTCCCCCGGGGCTGCCGCCGCCCGCTCTCGAGGCCGGGGGGGGGTCCTCGGGGGCGGCTGCGTGACGCGCTTCCCGCTTGTGCCCCCTGCCAGCCCCGCGCGCGACCGACCCGCTGGACGACTTCATCGGCGGGCTGAACGTGCAGCTGCAGCCCTTGTCCATGGAGATCCGGAAGGGCTCCGCGGAAGACAGCGGGAAAGCCTACTTCGCCCTGGTAAGGCGGCGCCCCTGGCCCCGCTCGGGCAGCAGCAGAAGTCGGGGGGGGGGGAAATGAGGGGCTTTGAAGCCTTTCCCCCTCCCCAGCGATTGCGGCCCTTCAGCCGAGGAGGGGCTGGCCAGGGAAGGCGGGGGCCCTGTCTCTAGAGCAGTGGTTCTCAACCTGTGGGTCGGGACCCCATTTGGGGTCGAACGACCATTTCACGGGGGTCGCCAAACCACGCGGTCCGCCATTTTTTCCCTTTTCCCTAGCTGTCCTATTCCCTCTTATTGGTGGCTACACCCACTTGGGGGTCACCGCAACATGGGGAACTGTATTATGGGGTAACGGCATTAGAAAGGTTGAGAACCACTGCTCTAGAGGCCTCCGTGCCAGAGGCGGCGCTTGCCTGAGCCGAGCCCCCCCCCGCCCCCCTGCCCCCAGCAGCCAATTCCACCGGGCCTTCTTTGAATCCCAGGTGAATCTGGCGGAGACCGAGATTACCAAAATGGCAAGTGACTTCTCTGAAAACGAGCTCGAGCTGTTCAAAAAGACAGTAAGTATGGTATCTTTAACGAATGCCACGACGGCTGCTGTGGCTACTCGAGAGAAGCGCAGAGATGTTTGCAGCAAAACCAGGGAGGAAATGAGCCAATTCTGCTGACTGCCGGCAGTTTGATCCTGAGGGGCTCAAGGTTGACTTCCATCCTTCTGAGGTCGGTAAAAGGGGGGCCCAGAGTGTTGGGCGCAACAGGCTGATTCTGCAAACCGCCTAGAGTGGGCTGTAAATCACTGTGAAGCGGTATATAAGTGCTATTGTTGTTGCAGAGCGTTCTTCTGGGGCAGAGACACTTGCCGGTTGTGGCAGTCTGTCCGGAGAATCCATGCAGGAGGAAGTGCCTCTTCCCAACTCTGGGCAAAATAGCCTCCAGAGCAGGGTTTCTCAACCTTGGCCACTTTAAGACTTGTGGACTTCAACTCCCAGAATTCCTCAGCCAGCTTCCTGCTCCAGAGCTTGGTTGACATGCAACAGAGAAAGATAACGCAACCATGATTTTTGTCACGTTCTTGTGAGGACCCCCGTCCTGCTCCATCTGCCTTGTGAGGGCGGTCAGCATAGATTCATGGCAGAGGCAGCAGAAACACACAATCTGAGGCACTTTGAGAATACAACAGTGATTGATTTGAATTGGAGTTACTGATGAAAGTAGAGGGATTCTGCTAAATGGAATTAGATAAATTCTGGACACCACAGTAACGCCATTTGTTTAACGTTTACATTTTATTGCGTTTACACGAGCTGGACAGGTGCCTGGCTTAAATCCCTCACATGTGATTGTTCATAGGATAGATTTTAGGAATTGGTTGGGGTAGAAGCTGGAGGCATGTGAACCTCTGGACCATTTATGGGTTCCTTGTATCATTTCCTCCATTCCACAAACTACTGAAGCCTACACTCGAATAGAGGGATGAAATTAACAGAATTCTGAGGAACGTTTGCAAAGGTTTTTGTGGCTAAATGTTTGAGATAATAGATTTCCTATAAAAAACTTAGAGAACTAGCTTTCAGAGCTGGAGCAGTTGAAGGCACTGGCGCCCATGATGTGGTCCAGCTTTAGATCCCCCTCAACCAGAATGTGCCATTTGCTTCCTCTCCATTAATTCTGCTAGAGAATTCTTTGGGAAAGCGAGGAGGAGAGGAGTAGGTGCTGTCTTGTACATCTTCTGTTAGTTTTAGCAACTCCTGGATCTCTAGTATTTTGTCTTGTGACGTGGCCTGAATATGATCTAAATAATGCATGTGAGGACTCCTGGGTGGTCTCTGAGCTTAGTTGTTGGTTGCACTGATGATATCTATGGAGATTCTCAGTCATCCGGGTCATAGTTGTCTCAAAGGTGCTTTTTCAAAAATGGGACTGAGCTGTTTTTTCCTTGAGGAAGACATTTCACTTCTCATCCAGGAAGCTTCATCAGTTGGGATGGTAGGGGGATGGAAGGATAGGTACTGACAGGATGGTGGTGGATTGCACTGATGATGTTCCCTAGTTGGGTAAGGAAACGTCCGCAAGCAAACAATCCAGCTCAGAGAGCACCAAGAACCCCATAGTTAAACTCTGAGCTACAGAGATTCTTTTTTGTTGGAATAATACAAATAGTTGGAGATGACCAATCACAAAAACTTTTCTGGAATGGACTGATGAAGTGGAGGTGGTTCTGCAGGATGTATTCCTGACCTGAAATTCTGTTATCCTTGTTTTTTCTTGAAGCATATCACTAATTTTAGGTTACAGCTATTTTTCTCTTTTCTTTTTTGATCCATGTGTGATGTGTAAGATGGTCTGCAGAGATGAAAATAAAAATACAGTACTAATTTTCCAGGGCTGTAGCCATTATTTATCTATTCCAAGAAAAACACATTAAACTTTTGTGGATGATAGTTTTAGTTCCTACCGAGACAAATCTTCTCCATTGGACGAGGCTGCAAAGCAATTGGAGGACATTCTGTAGGTCTGAGCAGAAATGTCCTTTGGGGAGGGCAGTCCTTAGACTTGGTCCATTTGAGGAAGGGATGCCACAAGAGCGTGTCCCTGGACATTGGTGTGGCCGTGTGGGGACCAGGGATGCAATGGAATCTCACTTATTGTAGGAGTCTTGAAAGTGAAGGCGTTCTGCCTCTTAGGTTCTGTTGGGGCAAGAGAGGCGAGAAATAACCCTTCAGGTCACACCATTCCTGACTGGAAACTATGGGGGCAGGGGGCTGACGCCTAACACGTGGCGCTCCATGTCTGCCCGGGGAAATAGTTTCATAGGTCCTTTGTTTCTGCAGCTGGACCTGATCCTGTTGTCTGGGAATGGCTTTGCATCATCCACCAAGATCTTGAACTTGGCTGACCAGTTGAAGCCAAAGAAAATGAAGAAGATGGAGGTGGAGCAAGTGCTTCAACAGCTGGTGCAGAAGAAGTGGTTGTGTGAGGTGGGCAAGGGCCTCAGAGACGACAGGCACATAACCACATCTCCTGCCCAGGGGGGAGGTGGGGATGGTGGGCTCCAAGGGTGATTGACAGCTTATTTGTTTTACAGAAAGAAGGGGAGTACACCCTGCACATCCGCAGCATCCTTGAACTGGAGCAATACATCTTTCGCCATTACCCGGAGTCTGCCCGGAAATGCCACATCTGCCACAGCCTTTCTGTTCAGGTAACTCTATCAGCCCATCTTGTTGCAGGTGCCAGAGACATGGACCAGCTTAAAAAACCAGTAGTAATTAATGAACTTTCATCAGCTGCAGCTTGCAATAAAATCTGTTAGTAGAAAAAAGGGCTACCAGGCTCCTAATGTTTGTCTACTGCAGACTAACACAGTTGCTGTCCTGCAGTTTCTATCTGTAAGTAGGTTAATAGGCCAAGTTGCAAAAAGAAACCCCAAACCCTCCACATTAAACTGGTCAATCCCTTGGGTGAATTCCTGCCAATTTAGCAACTTTTCCTTGGATTAATTCAGAAGCAGCCTCTCTGGAAGCAGGGCTCCCAGCTCAGCAAAAGTTGGAGGGTCCTCCTCCTTGTAAGTGTCTGTTCTGGAGGCCCGAGTGACACGTCACTCGAATGCACAAGGCTTTTATAATACTTACAAACCACATAATGCATTTCTAGACTCTCCTATAGGGCGGCTGGTAGCGATAGAACAGAGGACAAGCTTAGCCAAGTCACTCTAGGGAGAGCTGCTACAGCCTTGCTTCCCTTGGAGGGAGATGAGGGCCTTAAGATTCTGGCAGCATCGTTTTGTCCCAACCCATCAAAACCTCTGAAGAACCTTAAGGGACAAAGTTATTTACTCAGAGACCTGGGCATCTCCTTGATCTGTACACCTGATTCAACGTTAATGGGACTGCTTCCATTTCAGAGTCAAGTGTGTGAGGATTGTGGAATAGTGCTCCATTGCTCTTGCCTTTCCAAGTACTTCCAAGCGCAACCAGAGCCACGTTGCCCTCACTGCAAACAGTTTTGGCCTCACAAGATTCCAGGTAAAAACTTCAGGGTGGCCTGTCTGCCTGTGGACACGTTTTTCATATAGAGATGAGGGCAATCTGGCCGCAGTATCTGATCAATATGGTTGATTTGGCCTTTCTTTCACTTTAAAGTACTGTGAGACATTATGCTGGAAAATGCAGCCTCATTCAGATCGAGGCTTTTTAGAGGGGACGACCAAATGAAAACAATAACATTTTAAAACGTGGAAAAGTAGCCTGACCAGGGACCTTGGAGCCAAAGCCTTTCATTGAACGAGATGTCCTGCCATCACCATAAAAGTGCTGGCTTTGGGACGTGAGCCAACACACACTGGCTTATCTTCCTTCTTCAGCTCATCCTGCATTTTCTCCTTTGCAATGCAGACTTCCATCCTCCCAGCCACTTGCCCTCAAGTGCCAGGAGAGAGAGCAGGAAGGCCTCCAGGATGGGCTCCAGGCAGCAACAGTAACAGCCGCCACCTTTCGGATGAGACGGAGGAGCAGGTTCTTTCTCTGGGGGCATCTGAAACTGCAAGGGCTTGTCTGCCATTTTTATTGGCAGCCATTTTGCCTTTTTTTGCTTTGAAAGGTGATTGGGCAATTGGCCTGCCACTTATTTACTGCCTATGGAGCATTATCCTCAACATTTCTCCTTTATTTTATAAAGGGGTGCTATCCCACTTAAAGCCAGGATACGCCTGAGCTCCTACTCCACTCACCCAGTGGGCCATCCTTGCCTCTTCCTAAAGACATTTTGATGTTGGCATCACTCACCTTCTCTGAACTGGTGGGACTTGAGTGGGTTGTAGATCCATTAGGGAATTTTAATTTCCTTGCATATTTTGCCCAAGAACCGATCCCTTTGGGACTCCTGCGGGATGACTTGCCTTAATGTTGGTAACTGCAAGTGACGTATTTTTTACTGACAAAATAAACTTGGGATTGAGTATTGCAAAGTGTGTTATTCCAGTGCATTTGGAAATAGGCGGCCTTAGAAGACTAGTGTATTCTGCTTGTGGGTGTGCTTGTCTTGGATCAGCCATGGCTTTCTAACATGGCCTTCTTGGTTCCTCTTGAAACGCCTGTTCTGTTCTCAGGATAAATTAGGACCACCAGAAGCTCACAGAGAAGCTGGTGTCCAGGGCTCGAACATGATGCCAGTAGCTGGCCGGGATAAACAGGACCTCTCCAGGGCTCAAGATACAGTCTTGAAATGCAGCTGCCTTGAACTTAGGGAACTTCTCTAAGTCAGGGTTTTCCACATCGACCTGAAAAGGAAATGGGTTTTTTAGACTAGACACTTCAAGAAGCTTAATAGCCCTCCTTCTACCCTCAGAAGATGGGGAAGGAATGTCTGTCCCTACACACCTGTGGCAAAGCCTTTTTGGGCTACCAGCTTTAAAAATCACTGACAACTAGTGGCCATTGTTTCATAAGTCGCTCACCTGGCTGGTGTTGTGAAGAAGGTGGCCTTCATGTGGATACAGTTTTTCAGACTGATCAGGAGAGAACAGGCGGATATATTTGCGTCCCATCACCTGAAAATGGGAACACAAAAAGATAATTGCCTGTCATGATGGGGAGATGTACTTTGATCACCTACCTGCCCTTCTCTCATTCAGATATTCCAGGCTAGGCCCTTGCAGGGATGGCCCCAGGTTTCTTCACACCCCAAGAGTAGAAGGAAAGCCACTGACAGGACTCTTTCTTCTACTAATTCACGGGGCGAAAGTAGCAACCTGCTGTGAAGGCACTTGGAATACCCAGCAAATATCTCTAGTGCCCCATCAATACTTTGGTCCAATTGAGGCTGTGGGAAATGCATTTTGGGCGGTGCCAGAAGTTGGGTAAAGATGGTGGTCCAGAGCAAACTACTGCCCAAAATATTACGTGAAAAATGACAAGGGGTCAGCATCGCTTCTTTCCTGGCAAAAATCTCTGAAGGAGGTAAACAAACCTGGACCAAGAAATTGTGTTGTGGATCCTGGTGAAGAGGTGAGATGGTCCCGGATGGACCAAACCAGGCATTGATGGTGATCTCCTCTTCCTCGTTTTTGCCCAGGCAACAATAGTCCGGGATGCCAATGTCTTCCTTCAGCTCTGGGATCTGGCGATACCCCGTCAGAAGTAAAAGCCAAGAGTGAGTCTGATTTATTTTATTGCATCATGCTGAGAGCAAGATCTGTAGGCACCTTTCCATTAAAATGCTTAGGTGGCTTATGGGAATTTAAAATGTACACTGTAAAACATATAGTGTAAAAGCACCAGACAGAATGAGAAATAAGATGACACAAGCCTTTCATCAGCATATGACATCAGCTGTATATTATGTATGTAAACTTGTAACTCTTCTCCAGCAATGTTAGGAGGTACTAGGCTAGCACTTTTGTTTGCTGGATCAACCCCATTTGCTCCCCTGAGAGCTGGCAGCAGTTGCTTTCCCTCCATCTGGACAGGACACTTGCCTCTCGTACACGCTGTATATTATACTCCTTTGGCTTGCATATCTCAGAGACTGACAACCAAATTTGGGCTCCACAGTCTGAAACTCCCCCCCCCCCAGCTAGTCTGTGGGATGTTGCCCAAAAGATGTTCAGCCCAACACTGTATGGTGCTCTGTAACAATCCATAGACAAAATTATTTCTGCCTTGGGATCCACCATGCTCAGTCTCAATCTACCATGCTCAGTCTCAATCCACCATGCTCATTGATCCCTTCTCCTTGCTCAGGCTGCCTCTTCAGTAAGAATAAGGAAAAGGGAGTCAGGGCAAGCTTGCTAAAAAAAATTTGAAATAATACTGGATGTAGCCATAACACTCAATTCAATGCCATTTAAACTAAACATGGCTATCTTATACAAATATATTTCCATAGCAAGAAGCATCAATCCAGTACTCCCTATGCAACAATACCAATGGCAGCTTTACCACTGGACTGGGTAATGGACTTTTGCTGTGGAATCTCTGGGCCCTACTTTCAACTCCTCTCTGCAACAAGTGGCAGCAGCAGCAGCCTTCCCCGGTGGAGTGTTTTGGGGCATAGCTCCCATCAACCCAGGCCAGCATGATGCATGAGCTGCATCCAGAGTCATGAAACAAAACATCCAGAGAGCTCCAGGGCGAAGAGAGGTACTGCAGCAGCATGACATAAGATGGCTGGTCTACAAGGGACAAGATCTTCCCCAGTAAGGCTTAATATAGCTGGCTCAGGAATTCTGGGAGTTGAAGTCCACGAGTCATAAAAGAGCCAAGGTTGCCTACCCCTGATCTAGTAGGACCAAGAAAGGCCTTCTCTGTGGTGGCTCCCTCCCTACGAAACATCATCCCCATGAGACAGATTGGCCCCCATTTTGACACTCTTGCAAGGCCCTGAAGACCTGGTTTTGCCAATGGGCAGGGGACCCAAGTGGGATGGAGCCCATTAAGTGGTTTATCTGACTTTTGTTGCCAGGAGACTGAGAGATTTATTGCATTTGTGGTTTTTGTATTGGGCTTTTATCCTTGTAAGCTGTCCAGAGTCATTGAGACTCAGTTGGGCAGCCATATAATTTTTCATAAATTGGAGGTGGGGGAGGGTTAGGCATCTGACATCTTTTTTTATCAACAGACCTCCCTCTGTAAAGGGTAGCTGAAGGGGGCATGAGTCCTTTTGCCCCTGAGAACACACTCTGGAGTGTGATTCAGGGCAAAGAGAACCTCTGTTTTCTAGGATCTGCAGTAATTTCCGCATGTACCTGGTCGAAAAGCTGGTGCTGAGCAAGGTATCCATTGGGATTCTGGAATGAAGAGGCAGAAGAAATAAACTGAGTCATGTAGAACAACAAAGGAGACAAAAACATTCTTTATTCCCGTAAACACTGAGCTAGACCACCAGCGCTGCCCTCTCATTTTCCATGAAGAGGTGCTCTCTGTAACTCAAAATCTTGCAATTGAGCCCACACTACTAAAACCGCTGCTACCATACCTTTCGATCACAAAATATTGCCAGGGAGACTTCCCCATTAAGTTAGCAAGACTGATTCATTTCCCTGTCCCTGGGACTTCCCTGAACAAAGAGCTCAGACCTCCTGCTTGATGTACTGGCTGATGAATTCCCCGACTGTCATGAGGTTTTGGGACCAATCCTGGTCGGTGTAGCGAGCACCCAGCTCCACTGGGACGGTGCGGTGGCCGGCCAACTGCAGGAGATAATCCACGCTGCCGCAGGAAAAGCCAAAGGTTGGAACGAGAGATTTCACCCGCCCCGCTTCCTCTACCTCGTTACAGATCTTTTCCCCGCTAGGGATCGCGTCCAGGCTGCCCGGGCAGAGGGAACGCGGAGCAGCCTAGGCGACCGGCGGGACCCTCACCTCCACTTGCGCAGGCAGGGCCAGTGGTCCACGACGCCCTCCAGCACCAGCGGCGCCCCGGGCAGGAGGAAGCGCTCGCGGAAGCGCTGCAGAGACGGGCACCGCAGCCGGGCCACCGGGCCGCCCTCCGCCGCCGCCTCTCCCTGGGCCGGGGGGCGCTCCGTGCGCGGCTTCTGCGAGGAGTGGAGAGGGGTCAGAGGGCGATCTCCCCTCCCCCTCGGGCCTCGCTCGCCCCGCCGTCCTACCTTGCAGGGCGGGCCCTCCGGGGCGGGCAGCAGGCGCTGCAGCAGCGCGGCCAGGCGGGCCAGCTCGGGGCCGGGCGCGCCCAGCAGCAACCCCAGGTCGCAGGCGCGCAGGGCCTCGGCGCAGGGCCCCCGCGCGCGGCACAGGCAGAGCGCGCGCAGGAGGCAGGCGTGAGCGAAGAGGCGGCGCCAGGCGCGGCCCACGCGATGCCAAGGTCCCTCCTGCAGCCGCTCCCACGCCCAGTCGCCCAGCCGCTCGGCCGCCCGCAGGCAGGCCTCCCGCGCCGCCGCCGGCCACCCGCCCGGCGCCTCGGCCTGGCCCAGCAGCGCCGCCGTCTCCCTCAGCAGCGCCGCCGGGCCCACGCCCACCTCGCCCGCGTCCAGGCCCGGCCCGGCCCGCGCGGCGCGCAGCACCTCCGCCGGTTCCAGTGCCGCCCAGGCCGCCCCCTCAGTCGGCGCCCCGCTCATGGCCGCCCGCCCGCCCGCCCACGATCCTCTGGCCGGGAGCGGCGCCCACATCGCGTCACTCCGAGGCGCCGCGAGAGCTCCGCGCCTGCGCAGACGCTCGCTTCACCCCCCGCGGCTCGTGCGCGGCGTTACCCAGCAGGACGCTAGGGGGCGAGCTGCTGCTAATGAGTCGCTGCGTGGGCGGGGCTGGGCGGCCCTTAATGGCGCTGCCGCGAAGTGGCAGGGGAGGAGCTTTCGGCAAACTGCAGGCCCAAGCCCCGCCCCCCGTGGGCGAGTTCAGCCGGTGCCCCGCCCCACGCAGCCGCGGGTTGAATTTCGGACTCGCCCTCACGGCCGGGGCGGTCAGCGGGCGTCGCCGGGGGTGGTGCTCGTGGCCCAGCGTTCGTCCGGCGGCCCTTTCAAGTTTTTCTCAACCGTGGCAGTTTAAAGATGCGTGGACGTCAACTCCCAGAATTCTGCTATGTCGGTTTGGGAATTCTGGGAGTTGAAGTCCACCCATTGCCAAGGTTGAGAAAAACTATTCGAATCTATTACGGCAGTGTTTCCCAAACTTGACAATTTTAAGGCATGTGGACTTCAACTCCCAGAATTCCACAGCCAGCAACGCTGGCTGTGGAATTCTGGGAGTTGAAGTCCACATGCCTTAAAATTGTCAAGTTTGGGAAACACTGTATTACGGTATTATGATTGTGCAGCCGACCGAAACAGCTGCAGCTCCTGGCATCTCTTGCGTGGAGCTCCGGGAAGAGAAAGGAGGCCCTGCGGAGCCACCTGCTCTCTGCCGCCTCTTGCTCGGGAAGGCCGTTGCGAAGGCGCTGGGGAGAGCTCTGCGTTAAATGAATTGTGAAACAAAAGTCTTGCTTACCTTGTCACCTTTGGCCGCCGCTCCCGATGACTGGCTTGTAAGGTTGGGAGTTTGCCTGACTGGCTCATGGCAACGCCCGCTTTCCCAAGGGGTATATATGGGGGGTCCACTCCAAGCAGGGGGGGGTCTGCCCCTTTGGGACTTGCTTCCCAGTAACCGCTTTATTTGCAAGTAATCCGCCTACGTGGTGGGGGTCATTGGGCCTGCACACCAGGTAAAAGGACGCAAGCTTCCTGGGACAGCCCTTCCCTAGGGGAGCCCAAGCTACTGCTGGGTGTTGCCAGCAGACACCGCCCTGCCCCCTCCCTCCCGCAGTGTTGCAGTGTTATGGTTGGCCTTGATTTGCCAGATGTTAACTGCTCGGGGTTATCTTAAAGCTACCTCTGCCCTGGTTGCTTCAAGGCATGGTCAGCTAAGGGGGTCCAGAAATGGGGCTGAAGCTGCGATGTCCCGGAGCTGCTCAAAAGGTTCAGAATATCTGGAGGGTCCTCTGCTTTACTTGCTCTGCCCAGGTAAAGGTGCTGCCGAGAGAAGAAGCAACTGCCCTAAGTAGGCTCCTCTGAGGGGAGCATGTGCAGTTTAGGTAACTTGGTGGCCTCCTTTCCCATCCAAGAGGCTCTGAAGAATTCCCTTCTGAGAATCAAACAGCTTGATAAATGCCCAGTCTGCAAGGTTAATTGCAACCTACTGGATGTCTTTCAACTTCTCATAATTTGGATCAGATAAACAGTATAGTCCTGTATATAATTTGTGTTTGTGGTACTGGAGTGGTTTTATGGAAGAATCTGGACTTCTAGTGTTTGTACAATATTAGATTTTATCTAGAACGTTATTCCAGTGTAAACTTCCATTTTGTTCCTGTAAAATTTAGGCCTGCAGCAACACTCACAGGCCTCTGAATGTTGAGGTTGGCCAGTTAACCAAGGTCTGGCACTTTTTAAGTTGGGCAGCAAGCATGGCAAACTTTCAAAAAATGGTAGGCTTGGGTTGACCGGTCTTTCTGGCCACTTTGAAGGCAGTGCCTGGGGCTGGCTCTCCCACCCATGAGACGTGGGTTCAGTGCTGGGATCCAGTTCATTCTGCTCAGTGGCTATCCAGAAGCCACCCCTTGCTTTCATCCTGCTCCAATAGGTTTTGATTACTTTTGAAGCCCTGAATACCCTTCCAGATATATGAGGAGTCATATAGCCAACCTCCATACCTGTCAATACCCATTTATTCAGAGAGACTCTTGGTGATTTTCAGACACAACAGCTTATTTCTTCTGCTCCAACCCTTGTGTCTGTGTATGTGCATACCTTGGAAGACAAAAAAATCTACCACAATCTTAGCAAAAATTTAAAAGGCTTTCTTAGTGGAAAAGCAAGGCCTAAAAGCAACAATTGTGGCTATCACTCTGGAATGGCTCTGCTTAGTGTGACTGATGGCCATGCTCGCCCTTCTTAGCCTTGCTTTTCTACTCCAAGAAAAACCAGCTTGCAAAGCAGTCTTCAAGATCTCAGTGCACGCATGGGCATGATTAAAGCTTCTAGACAGAACAGGCCAGAAAGCAGGAGTCAGTGTTCTGCATTTACTTAACCCCAGTCTTTTTGAAGAAGTGTTCATGTTGCTTTGTGAATCCTCAATCCTTTTATGAAAAGTGTCCCCACTCCATCTTGTCCCAGATTGGAAAGTCAGATTTCCAAATACTCTGGGACAAAGTGAGGTGGCTGAGAAAGATAAGTGGACGATGGTGGGAATTGCTGTGCACTGTGTCTGAAGGAGATGAGTCTAGTGGGAACTAATTTAAAGAACAGACCTGCATTCCCCTGAATGTTGTTTGATCCCTTGAGGGTCTCTGCCTTCAGGAGTCTCCCTTGGCTGCGTTCTGTGCGCCATGGAAGCGAAGGTTTTGGTATTCTCTGCTTAATAAGAACAGAGACATCGGTGGTTGGAAAGAGCTGCTCTGAGAAGTGGCATCTGACTGTGTGGTGTCTTCCCCAAGGCTGAGTAGGTTACTAGGTCAGGCCCTGGCCAGCTCTAGAGTCTAAAGTAGACAATGCAACAATCACGAAGGCTCAGTAGATATAATTTCCAGAGTGATTACTTAGCATCCATGGTAGAAATTGTTCCCCTCAAATTAACATTCTTTTTTTCACAGACAACAGCTGGTTCACAGCTTGAATGCAACAGCTAAGATAAATTAAATAAAAGAGGCAATAAAATTCAAACCTAATTTAATTTGTGGTACATGCAGATGCTGGCAACACTTTTAAAATAAAACAAAATATGTGAATGTCAGCAAACTCCAATAACTGCTTGGTTCTCATTACTGCAGAGGTCACAGAAACAAAATAAAGCAAGATTAATGTGGCAAGGCCCAAGAAAGAGTGACTCTCCTTGAAGGACCAAGACTTGTGAATTCAGGAAGACTATCAAGCTTAGAGTGACATCTCTCCTTACGGAACCTGTGTTTGTTGTTCCTGGAGAGGGGTAAAGGTGGTGGTGAGAATGAGTATACCTAATATTTTATTTATATCATGGCTTTCTATTTATGAAGCTGTGGTTTAAGTTAAGCATCATTTCAGATGGAGAAACATTTGCCAGTCTGGGTGCTTGAGTCAGGATGAGCAGAGTTCCCAGTATATAATGATAGCATATGTTGACTTTATGGTCTTGGGTTTTAGCAGCATGTGCTGTTTTTTTGTGTTTCATTATTTTTTTGTATACTGCACTGAGTCATGTCTAAGTTGGACAACCATAATGATCCTTCAAATAAATAAATACACCTACACAAAAGAAAAATAAACAATTAAAATGATTCTTTAGAAACAAGCTCAGAGAAAATGGAAAATCTTTAGTACCAAATCATGGGACTCTACTGAAGTTGATCTGGGCTACCGTTGGGATGACTTGTGGCAGCAGCTTTCTTGCTAATGAGCTTCTTTTAATCAACAACAAGCCCCTCAAATACTGGAATATTGCTATCATGTCACCTCTGTTTTTTCTTTTCTTTAGACTAGCCAAACCCAAGTCCTGCAGCTGTTCTTCATATGTTTTAGTCTCCAGGCCTGTGATCATTTTAGTTCCTCTTCTCTGAACTTTTCCCAAAGTCTCAACATCTTTATTGTAGTATGGTGACCAAAATTGGCTGCAGTATTCCAGATGTGGTATTGATTCATATTTATAATGGTCATAGTGTTCCAGGGTCATGTGATCCCCTTCTGCAACCTTTTGACAAGCAAAGTTAATGGCAGAGCTGCTGGTGGCCAAGTGCTAAGGCGGGACTTCCTTTCCTCCCTCCCTTCCCTGCCTCCCTTTTTCTCATTCTCATCTCCTTCTGAAGGAAGAATTTGAACCCCCCCCCATATTTTCCCTCTTCCATATATTGATCAAACAAGGAAAGGCCTCCAGAGACAGAAAAGACAAGCTGCTGAGTGAACTAGCTTAAAAAGGCACATTCCCCTTTAAGAATTAGCTACTGGCTAGAAAGGAAAGTAAGGAGCGTAGCTGGCACTTAGGGAAGAAAACAAAATGTAGGTACTGGCTGCCGGCTAAGGCAACCTCCCCAAATGGCTCCATTCATAAGTAAAGGAATGCTACAGGCAAAATCCATTCAGGAGAAAAATACTTCAAAATCCCTTGCAGCAAAACTTACAGCTAACAACAGCAGAGCAATAGAAGCTAACACCATCAGCCAAATAGAAATTGCCAAACACTCCTTAAAAACACAAAGCCCTCATTGCACAAATCCCATAACTTCAAAGTCACAAAAGCACATAAGAATCCTTCCACTCTCCATCTTCTTCCCTCCTCCATGCCTCACCTCCAGCCATTGCTGCCTTTTTTCATTCCTTTTGGAGGGCGACCCCTTCCCCGTTGCATTTCTTGCCTGTTTGCTGCTGCCAGCACAGGTGGCTGCCACAGCAGTCGTAGATCAGCTCATGGCCAGCCTGCTTGATCTCCTCTCCCCCCAACCTCCCCCTCCCGTGCAGCTGACTCTGCCTCCTCCCAAGGCTGCTGCTTTTTCTCTCTCCCTCTCCTGCCCAAAGTGCCTCCTTTTATAGCCTCTCCTGTTTACGTCTCCTCCTCCTTTCTCATGGGGGAGGGTGAGCCAGAAGTGAGCCTGGGGCCTTTGCAGCTCCAGAGGACTCTCTCACTG